TTATTTCCCCCCCCAAAAAACTAGGTGCGTCCTATGGGCCGGTGCGTCCTATAGGGCGAAAAATATGGTATTTATCTACTTGCACTTTGACGTGCTTTCGAATTGCTAGGTTGGCAGGAGCAGGTACCGAGCAACGGGAGCTCACCCCGTTTGCGGGGATTCGAACTGCTGACCTTCTGATCAGCAAGCCTTAGGCTCTGTGGTTTAGACCACAGCGCCACCCGCGTCCCTTTATCCAGTCATTATCGAGATCTAAATCTATGGGGGCTATTTAACTCAGAGTAGTCCTGCTGAAATTAAAGAACATGACTAAGTTAGGTCCATTAATTCCAGTGGGCCTGCTCTGAATAAAGTTTAGTTCAGGCATAGGCAAACTCGGCCCGCCAGATGTTTTGGGACTACAACTCCCATTATCCCTAGCTAACAGGACCAGTGGTCAGGGATGATGGGAGTTGTAGTCCCAAAAACATATGGAGGGCCGAGTTTGCCTATGCCTGGCTTAGTTGAATGCTACCCTATAGCTATAATCTTCCACAAGTATTTGGAAAATCATTTGGAAATCAGCAAAGTGTTTCTTGTAAAGGCATAAGAGTCCATCGTGCAGATGGTCTATTTCTACCCCACCTTTCAATCAAATTGTTCCCAAGGTGATTGTTGCTAACACTTTTTTATTATGATTGCTTTCCTCCTGCTGCATTCTTTTGCTATTAATTGTTGATGTAGTTTATATTTTTATTTGAAAGCAGTGTGAATTTTACTATAGAAAAGTAAGATATAAATGTATTAAGTGAGTAGATAATGATAGAATACAAATACAATGACCAGTGCCTGGTTACAGTTACTACGCAAGTGCTGACAATGGGTTAACAAACGAGAATGCTTATAATCCAGCTAAATTTGACGAAAGCCACTACTAGCACGAAGGACTGCGAATAACTCTGCTCATGCTAGTTTATTGGCAATTTCTTATACAGTAGGCAATTTGAAATGTTCTACCTTGACTGTCACTTTCACTTTTCCACACTGTCTGTAACCACTGAAGGGGCTGGCACTGCAGTTTTCGTTTATTACCCAAGAAACTCCACCAGAAAATTATGTCTTTGTTGGGAGGGCATGAAAGGCGAACACACTAGAGAAACTCGCCTAACAACACTGGAAGTCAATGATTTGGAAACATAATTTGGATGCTCAATAAAAGGAAGTGAACAAAGGATGGGAATTCAGAGAAAAGGTAGATTGTAGAAGTAATAATAATAATAATAATAAATTTTATTTATATCCCGCCCTCCCCAGCCGAAGCTGGGCTCAGGGCGGCTAACAACAATCAAAATAATCCGACATTCTAAAACATTCATTATAAAATTAATTAAATCAAATAAGATCAAATTAATGGCAACCATCAAGCAAAATTCTGTGCAGATTGCCGATTGCCAGAGGAGGGGGTCAGGCTGCGCCCTGACCAAAGGCCTGGTGGAACAGCTCTGTCTTGCAGGCCCTGCGGAAGGATGTCAGGTCCTGCAGGGCCCTGGTCTCTTGTGACAGAGCGTTCCACCGGATTGGAGCCGCGGCCGAGAAGGCCCTGGCTCTAGTTGAGGCCAGCCTAACCTCTCTGTGGCCCGGGATCTTTAGGATGTTTTTATTTGCAGACTGTAAATTTCTCTGTGGGACATACCAGGAGAGGCGGTCCCGTAGGTACGAGGGTCCTAGGCCGTATAGGGCTTTAAAGGTTAAAACCAGCACCTTAAACCTGATCCTGTACTCCACCGGGAGCCAGTGCAACTGGAATAATACCGGATGGATATGATCTCGCAGCGAGGACCCCATAAGGAGTCTCGCCGCGGCATTCTGCACCTGCTGGAGTTTCTGGGTCAGTCTCAAGGGCAGCCCCACGTAGAGCGAGTTACAATAATCCAGTCTGGAGGTGACCGTCGCGTGGATCACAGTGGCTAGGTCAGGGCGAGAGAGATAAGGAGCCAACTGCTTAGCTTGGCGGAGATGAAAAAAATGCCGCCTTTGTTATAGCTGTAATCTGCGCCTCCATAGAGAGGGAGGTATCGAAGATTACACCCAAACTCTTAACGGACGATGCTGGCACTAATTGCACCCCGCAAGAGATGGGAGTTGCCCCCTCAATCCCATATCGCTCCGTCCCAGCCAGAGGACCTCTGTCTTCGAAGGATTTAACTTCAACCCGGCTCCCACGTAACCATCCAGCCACGCTTCCAGACATCTGGTCAGTGTATCTGGGGCCGAGTCAGGATGGCTGTCCATCAACAGATAGAGTTGGGTTCATCGGCATACTGATGGCAACCCAGCCCAAAACTCCGGACAAGCTGGGCGAGGGGGCGCATAAAGATGTTAAAAAGCATCGGGGAGAGAATCGCACCCTGAGGCACTCCACACACCAAGGAGTGGCGCGATGACAATTCCCCCCCAAGCGCCACCCTCTGTCCCCAACCAGAGAGAAACGAGCGCAGCCATTGAAGGACTGTGCCCTGGATCCCCACGTCGGCAAGGCGGTGGTCCAGGAGTTCGTGATCGACCATGTCGAAGGCTGCTGACAGGTCTAGAAGAATCAGCAGCCCCGACCCGCCTCGATCCAGCTGCCTGCGGAGATCATCTGTTAGGGCGACCAGAGCCGTCTCGGTCCCATGACCAGCGCGGAAGCCGGACTGGAAATGATGTTCACTCCTCTGTGAGTAAACATACCTCATACACTGAGAATATTGGGCCTAGTCCGTGGTGGAAGCTTATAGTTATTAAGCTAAGACTGTGAACACACTGTACCTTTAAAGGACATTCGAAGTGCGTTCTTTCCCTCAAAGAATTCTGGGCACTGTAGTTTAACTTTCACAGAGTTACAATTCCTAGCAACCCTTAAACAAAC